CACCAGAGTCAATCAGTACTGATATGGGTTGATAATCCCACTTTTTCTCGTTGAATAGCATTGAAGCCGTCTGAAGTACGCTTTGGCGCGCGCTTAAGCTGTAGACTTTTCTTTATGTTGCCGAGTTCGTGCAAGGTGTGAATTGCTTGTTTTGCGATTTGAGGTGATATTCTACTGCATATCAGCGATTTGCAGATGATGATTGCCACTAGCAGGCGATGGAGACTGCTCAACACTTCCTCTTTTTGCCTCCCATTCCGGATAGTCAACACTGGTGTCCTGGTAGTTGCTTGATCGGAAAGTGGTTGGAAAGAGTCCATCGTTGATCATCGAGAATATCCGTAACATCGAAGTGATCACCATGTACTTTCTTCTGTAGACGGTTGCGCAAATGTTTTCAGAAAATTTGGACAGAATCATTCTGCGCCAGACTCTGTCGGCATTAATCTTCATTCCAGTTTCTTCCAAATGAATTATCCGCGAATTGATTGCTTCAAACGTTTCTCGGGATGGTCTTTTGCTCCATGAAGGCGTTCGATCTCGTGGATGAGTATCTCTGCGATGTTGGTAGAGCGCTCGAAGTGTTTCTTCAAGATGCCCACGGTTGTCTGATGCTTGTCTCCAACGACTGGAATGCAGTTCAGTGCAGCAGCTGCTTTTCCTCTGAGCACTTGCTTCAGAAAAAAATTTGTCTCCATCTGATAAATCTTCATCGCAGTGATAAGTGACTCGAACGCTGCACAAAAACTGTTGAAATCTCTGATGTTGCCAGAAAACGTGGGAATCTCTAGGAGCGGTTTTCGGACTTTGAAATGGCGCTCAATCCGTTCGATTATTGAGCCTTGTCCCGACTCGCTGACCGGTTGACTCGGAATGCTTGGAGCAGGGGCATGCAAAAGGTTGTTTGCTTTCTCAGTTCATATTGTCTGAACTGTATTCGGTCCTGCTATTGCACTGACATTACTCCCAGATCAAGTGCCTCCAACTCTAGATGCTTGCTAAGCTCGACC